CCAACACACATACACACACATACATATAAAACATATTAAGCATTGTACATTAACATAAAACTGTCAGAACCATACTGAATTTCACCAGAGAAACACACACACACACACACACATATGAAGAGAGAGAGAGTATGTGTTGTATGGAAACGGCAAACAGCCATCATAATTCGTCATACAATGAGAACAGGGCAAATCAACAATTGACATTGACTAATTAATATTAAAATCTGTAACATAATGTATTGTTTGGAGTTTAGTCTGTTACTGTTACTATTTTTACCATTTCGTTTTGGAGCAACTGTAATCCACATAATTTCCTTAGTAATAAAGTATTCTGATTGTTTCAGGATGACCTGCCATTATCCAATGATACAGCTGCTTACCTGTATCTTTTGCTCGTTTCTCCTCCTCTTCTTTTCTATTTTTTCTAAACTGAGCACCTGATGGCTTTGAACTTTTCTTGTCCATCTTCCATTGGTTTTAATTTTGCACTCCAGTATGAACACAAATCCCCCAACCCGAGGATTGCCACAACATAACCTAATAGACCAACACCTTAGTTCACAGATTCACTTTGTCTAGGGTTTATTTCTGGGATTTCACACAACCCAGGATTCAAATCATGAAGAATAGAATAGAATAGAATAGAATAGAATACTTTTTATTTGTCAATTTCTTCAAATGTACTTGCCATACAAAGGAATTGAAATTACGTTTCACACTGTCCCAAAAAAATGCGTAGGCATTGACAACAATAAGGTGCAGATGCACAACAAAAACAAAAACAGCCCTAACAATAAGGTAATAAATAGTAATATAATAATATAAATAGTGCTAAAAGAATACTAAAAATATATATATAGCAGCAGGTGTGTGCAATTGCAATGCAAGTCAGGAATGTTTTCAGTTCTTGGTTCAGAGAGTGTTTCCTTGTTGGAGAGTGTGCGTGGGTGGGGGGTTAGAGTCCACTCTGTCTACTATACTTCTGCCAATCTGGTGATTCTGCTGGCTGGGAGCCGGGAGGGAAGAGAGTTCAGCAGTCTCACAGCCTGGTGGATGAAGCTGTTGGTGAGCCTGGTAGTGCGGGAGCGGAGACTTCTGTATCTCTTTCATGAATACGTAATGGGCTTGGATTTACAGCATTATGAATGAAATATGCTCTATTTGGAAGCAGCCGGCCCCCCTCCCCTTTCGACGGGTTGTGTGTGAGACTTTAAATCAAATCAAACTGTAAATTATAAAATTTAAATTGTTATTGATCCCTTCATCCCTGGTCCTAAAGTGTATATTTATTTTCTTACTCTTCTTATATTTATTGTTTGTTTACTTGCACTGCTGTAACTGGAGCCTCGTCGTCTCGTCTCTCTCTCTATATATATATACTGGACTGTATAGCGGAGATGACAATAAAGTTTACTTTGACTTCAGCAGCGAGCAGGTGCACCGAGGGCTCTTGCGCTCACTTTTCGCGCATAGAATTTAGAAAAAACATTGGTGCAAATTAAAAGTCTGTATCATGATGTCTGATGTTTTCGTGTTTGTTGTTTTGTTTTTATTTTTGTTTTATTTTGCGAGTTGGTTATTAGATGCTGTTCCAGCCAGTCAGAGAATCCCCCGCCGCCCCCACCTCTCCTCCCTGTGCCGCAAGCAGCAGGCACACCTCGCAAACGAAGGGCGCCCTTACTCCCAGCAAATGGGCAATAGAAAACCGATCGGTGCCTATGCCATTCCCAATATGCGCTGGCTGATGTTGGGGCAGCATGAGTACGAGCATTTTTTGGGCAACACGTATCAAAAACCGCTACTGCATAGAGGGATGATTCCACAGTATTTCTGCGTGAAGGATTTAATACTAAGCCTTGTATGCCACAGCGGACCAGTCCACTTTCTAATTTTGAAGTCATATCTCCCAAAAGAAAAACTTCACAGCAGACTCATCTGCTGCTTGACACTTCACAGTGTGAAAGCTGTAATGGTGATGGGAGAATTCCCTTTGAATGTTTTAATTTCAAGGTCTTGATCTTCCTTAGGTAATTTGAATGGGGCACAATTTTCCCAATGTGACAAACCAGAAGGATAAAGAAAAGCTTAATACCAGTGCAGAAAATAAACTACAGGCCATGTTTCAATGTGCACAGTGTAGAAACTGTTACATGACATTAGTTGCAAGGGCTCTCCAATGACAATTTTATTGATATTAAAGCTACTGCTCCATCATTCACAAGGGGTCACCACAGTGCATAGGCTCCACATGATTGAGCTTGTCGATTTTTTACCTTGTAACCCCAAAGGGATTTCTGTACCATCCCGGGTCCAAAATAGGTTTCTTTTGCTTATTAAGAGAATGATTTATAATTGACCTGCATAATTGAAAGAGCCAATGCTTATCACACTTACATGTGTGGCAAGCAGGTCAGAGAATAATTTATTATTCAGCATTTTAACAGGTCAGTGTTTTTAAGAGCTCTGGCAGTCAGTATGCTCTGCTATAGCTATGTATATATATATATATATATATATATATATAAAATGTGTGTGCGCTATTGCATAACCCAAGTCACTGCTTTGGGAACTGTTGGTCCCTGTTCTGCACAATGCTGGTGAGCTGTCATGACTCATCACGGAGAAACTGGAGGAGAGAGGAAAAAAATAAAGCGAGTGTAAAAGCAGAAACAAATAAATACAAGAGAGATAGTGACAGCGAAAGAGGAACAGAAAGCAGAGGTATGGCACAGGGTTGAAGCAGCAATAAATGCCAGCATCTTTAATATATA